ATTTTTAAAACAAAGTTCTATGCCTTTAATATGAGAAAAGTAGAGGATGAAATTTTCCCCCACATTTGTATTTTATAAACATTTAAATCTAAATAAAATAAAAAAACATATGGATAAACACATATAGGTGTATATATATAAGTGTGTATATATTTACTTAATATCTGTCTATCTACCTCAATACCCATCATGTATGTTCCAAAATCAAGGATTTTTCTCCTACATAATAATAATAATATCATGAACACTCAGGAAGTGTCATTCATACAGTAGTATTTTCTAATACATAGTCTGTAACTTTTTTCTAGAACATTCTTTATAGCTTTTTAAACAAAATTAGTATCCAATCAATGAATAAACATAGAATTTGGTTACCTTGTTCCTATTTTCCTCTCAAATCAAGAACACTTACATTTCCCTTGTTTGCTTGTTTTATATCAGTAAGTTGACCTTTCTGAAGAGTCCAGGTCACTTGCCATTTAAAATGTTTCTCAGCATGTGCTACACTGACACTTATGGGGGAGACAGCCAGGAAGGCAGGATAACAGGCCAGCCACCCACCCACAATCCTTCCCCACCCATGTAGAACCCAGGATCTTGCATCACACCATTACATGAGACTTCACACAGCTTCCATGGAGGTGATCCAGAACAGCCACCATCATAGCTACTATGGTTGCAAGGATGGCTCACAGCCTTAGCAACATCAAGGACCACCATGCAAGTGGCCCACCACATATTTGACTTTGTTGAGAAGGAGAGTCACTGAAGGAACCTGGGAAAAGAAGAAGTCTTCCCCTCATAGTCCACTTCTGAGTAATAGAAGAAGCAACGGATCTGCCAGATGACCAGAAATAAATGTAGAGATACTAGAAATATGAAAAAATCAGAAAATATGACATGGCCAAAGGAATTCAGTAACTCTCAAGTACCAGACTGTATACTACAGGGAACCCTTGAAATGAATGAAAATGAACTCTGAGAAACTATCTTAAGAAAACTCGATGAGATAGGAGAGGACTCTGTAAGACAACACAATGAAATGAACAAAAATATCCAGGATATGAGGGATGACATTTACAAAGAGAAAAAATACCTTAATGAATGTACCAGAACTTCTGGAATGGGAACACACATTCAATGAAATAAAAAACAGAACCTAGAAATTAAGCAGCAGATTAGAATAATCAGAAAAAAGAATTCCCAAACTCAA